GGCGATCTCACCGTCGAAAAGATCATAGTCCTGACGGATCCTCCAGTGGCTCTGACTCCGAAGCCAGTCGTTCACGACGCAAAGATGACAGGAGTCATCGGTCATCCAGGAAGATGTCGATCCGTCGAACGCATTCAGAACGTTCCAGTCGATCGGGTCGATCCGCCATGTCTGGGGCGTCCCAAGTCGCATTGAATACGATGCGCCAGACTCAGGAAGCTTTGGCCCGCATCCAGTCAGAACTCGGCCAGAAGCGCCAAGTTGATGAAGCAACTCTGACTGCTCACGCTGGGGCTGCCATTCAGGCCGAACGACTTCGCGCCGCGAAAGAGACTGAAGACCGAACTCAAGGCACAGCATTTTCAGACCGAGGCGGAATTCGCTGAACGTCTCAGGATCCAACAGATGCAGGATGAGTCTGAGCGTGCGCGCTGGGTGGACGATGTCCAGAAGAGCACGAATATGCAGATATCGATCCTCCAGCAGCAAATGCGCGAGATGATGGCTGAACGTGATCGAGAACGGGAAGCGGCGAAGAATATCCAGACATTTTAAGCCAGGCAGTTGCGCGACCTTCGCGCAACCTCCGCCCAGGTGCAACATGTGACAGTGACCCCTCTCCCAGATGCAGTGTCTCAAATCAAGACAGAATCGGGAATTGCGAACTTCCAGCAAGACGCAAATGGTCAGGTCGCAGGCAACATCGCCGCCAAGAACGAGAAGTCCGCTGACAAGGCGGCCGCAGCCGCCCGCGCAGACGCTCTCCTGGCCGCACAACTCCAGGCTACCATCCAGAGTGTGAATGCGGCGAAGCAGAGGACGAAACCCGTGACTACTGTGTCCACATCGGTGAAAGCTGAGGCGGGAGCCAGGGCAACGAAAGCTCCCGCGCCCAAGTCGTCGGATGACGCCAAGGTGAAGGCCAAGAAAACCACACCCAAGACGCGTACATCCAGGAAGGTTCGTCGTGGTGGATACCCATCCGACTCGGACCCAAACTCAGAAGATGATGACAGCGATTCCAGCTCTGATGACTAGGACAGTTCCTTCTGTGAGCCACTCAGCGATATGGTGGTCCCCAAGGCCACCCAGGGTGGCACCACCACGATGACTATCCGACCATTCGTGACTACGAGCTTGCTGGACGACTACGACGAAAAAGCTTCCCACTCAGAACACACTCGTTGGTGGGAGCGTTTTCAAACGCTGGCCTTTCAGGGCGGATGGAGCGATAAGATGAAAGTTTATGAACTCCGCCTGAAGCTATCCTCCTCGGCAAGGAACTGGCGTTCACAATTGTCTCCGCATGTGCGGCGTGGCTGGACAAGGTTCTCCAAGGAATTCAAGGTGAAGTACTGTAAGTCCAAGATGTCCGACTCAGAAAAGTACTACACCATGAAGTAACGCAGCAGAATCCCCCCCGGATTTCTTGTGTCGCCTGAATGCTGCGGCTGACCATGCGGACATTCGCTATAAGAAGTCGGAACGACGTCGTGAACAACACGTCAAGAGGTTCACACACCGATTGGCAGATTCGCAACTGAAGAACATCCCAAAAAGCCAGCGATTCAAGAGCATGGATAATCTGGAATATGTGCTGAAGCAGCAGGAAGATGATTGGGATGATGATCGTCAAAGCGGCTCGTCCACCAACACGAGACTTCAGGGCGGACAACCTCCGTCAGGGGCGACTCAGGACCAAATATCCAGGACGAGCGTATGTCACCCTGAGTGGCGATGCGTCTGACTCTGACGAACGACATGTGATGTTCGAAGATGAAACTCTTGAGATCTCCCCGGCCCAGGAAAATGTCGAGCCCCACGAGGCACCTCCTGAATACCAAGGCCTGGGTATGACTATGGAGGAGTTAACGCACGTGCTCAAGGTCATGGAAAATTCAGGATGGAGTAAACCTGGACATATGGCACACCAGGGTAAAGCCCACCGGAATAACGGTCACCCAGGATCGCCATCGCCGAGGTATGACAACCCTGACCGGGACATGCGTTGTGACACCTGCAACGGAATCGGACACCGGGCTGAGAATTGCTGGGCAGACCTAGTCTGTGAAAATTGTCATCGCACTGGACATTCTACTCAGCTATGCAAGCCTTTACCGTGTAAGAAGTGCGGCAAGTTTCACGATGGTCGCTGTGAAAATTGGAAAATGCTGGTGTCCATTGCACGACTAGCCCGCCAGGGCATCGTAAAAGGCTTACCCACTCCGATGCTGGACCGACTCCTAGCCGTCAAGGCTGATCCTGGTGATGGGTCGTTTAACCACTAAGCCCGCTGGATGGGGATCCAGTACACGACGGGCATGGTAAAACCCCAGGATTGTGCGCCTTGGTATATATGAGCCCTGAGTTGAGGACCAAGAACCAAGATAACCTACAATGCATGACTTCTATGTTTCAAGATCCCTTGAGTTCAGGATTAGGCCCCTCTAGATTGCTTCACTCAGGAGGTACTTATCCAGAATTTCCTGTGGAATTTCGGCTTCGGGATGGAGAATGTTATGGGTGGTGGACTTCTCACCAGGCAGGGAAGGAAAAGCGTAGGATTGCTACGGTTCATGGTGCCGTGAATGATGTAAGAACTCGGATACTCCTGGACACCGGAGCGTCATTGAGCATGATTAGCTTGGATTTAGCGCGTAAACTCAAGCTCAAGCTCAATCGACAAAATCAAGTTAAGGTATCTGGATTATGGGGTATCCCTACCCAAATCACGGCAAGTGCAGAAATCAAGATCACCCTGGGATCCAGGGTGGTCTACATCATGGAATCGTGGGTGGCCAATATTGGCGAAGGATTGGATGTGCTCCTAGGCATGGATTTGATGTTTCGTGCAGGAGTGCGCGTCTGTGTTCGAGAAGGTCTGGTGCAACTCCCAGACGAAGAGTCTATCCTGATGTATGATGAAAATGTCAAAGTACTCCAGAGCGTGGACTTGCCTGTCACGTCTCCAGAAAATTTGTACCTCATGCCACAATATGGACATACGAATCCAGACCAAGAAGTTGTCTGGGCTGGACGAAGTGACAGGTGGGTGACCAAGATCGTGTACCAGGCCAGATCCTGGTCTGTAGCGATCAAGGTTGTGAATGTGTCGAAACATAATGTCTGTATCGATATGAGAACACCGCTAGCCAGGATCGTGCAGTATGGGTTGTTTCCGCAGGCCGGACGTTTCGTCAGCCCTGGCACGCGAGCTTATCGTGAATGGCAGACCTTGATCTTGGAGCACGCCCAGTCACAACAAGACAGACTCAGTGCCGAGAGAAGAGAACAGGCACTGCGAGACCGAGAACCCCCGTGTGTGCCGAAGATGGAATACCAATGGCCAACCCAGATCATGCTAAGGCCTCAACCAGGTTCTGCTGAAGTCAGAATGGCTCAGTTGCAAGCCCCCCGTGTTTCAAGGTGTTGAATCGTGGAGAGTTGATAGAGGCGGGTACGCAGACGGAAGAGGATTCCCCGGTGACAACCAGGATGGATGTCGCCACACAATCCAGCGAAAGTCAGCTAGACAATCCTGGATGTGATCCTGGTGATAGCGACACCCTGGAGGGTGACCGAGGTGATACCTTTGTGGATACGCCTCCAGAATGGACTACTAAATTTGAGGAACCCCAGGGCGACGAGACGTCCGCAGAGATACACCCTGGACAAGATACTTCAGGATTCCCACCAGGACCAGCGTCCTGCACGCCACTCGAGAGATTTGAGATGGAGTACGAACGCTGCATGAGGGTTAGCGCAGAAGACCTGGACTTAGATCCAGGGGTGTATAATGAAGGGAGCGAGAAGCTGGCACAATTACGGGATCAGTTGGTCATGCTGCCAGAATGTGACATCGATCAGGCCGATGTAGGAGTCCCAGGTGAGACCTCTCCCGAAGAGGAATCCAGGATGCGTGCCATCCTGAAGCGTCATAGAAAGATTTTCCTGGGCGATGGAAATGCCGCACCTGCGCCCGCCAGAGGAGTGGTGTGCCACCTCCATATAGGAGATGCCAAATCTATCGCGTTGCGTCCAATTGGACCGCACGTGGCAGTCAAGGTATACGAGCTCCTCAAGAAATTACTCGAAAACAACCTGATTGAACATTCAGAGTCGCAATGGGCATCTCCGATCGTGATCGTGCTCAAGAAAGTGGACATCAGGATGTGTATTGATTATCGACTTGTGAACAATTTCATCCAGCTGTCTAGCTACCCGCTACCTCTCACCGACGACCTGCTAGTTGGTTTTGAGAAAGTGCTCTGGTTCATGAACCTGGATATGGCCAGTGGTTTCTGGACAATCAAAATGACAGAAAGAACCAAACTGATTTCAGCTTTCGTATGTCCGTTTGGACATTTTCAGTGGATTCGAATGCCGTTTGATCTTAAAAACGCACCCCTGATTTACCAGTAAGTGATCAACAATTGCCTGTGGGCATTCGTGCGTCTGCCACCAGAAGAGGAGGCGGAAGTAGACCAAGAAGTTTTGGATTACCTGAATTTGGACCCCCAGGATGATGGACCTCCAGGGTGTGGCACTCCCGGGTGTACCGGCTGTGAAGACGGCCATATTTCTCGGTCGTTACCGACCCTGGCGGACCAGATGACAGTATTCAAGAGGAACATCCCTGCTCCAACTCAGATGTCACCTGTCTTAGGGCGCAGTTCTTATATCGATGATATCGCACATGACGCACCCACTTGGAACGCATTGTGCGCTGACTTGGATGCTGTGCTATATAGGCTGCGGTATTGGAATATTTCAGAAAGTCGACCGAAGAGCGAGTTTGGAAAATTATCCATCCCGTATTTGTCGCATGAAATTAGCGCTGAAGGAATCAAGGGCGACACCGAAGATCGCCAAGGGAGTTCAGGATTTACCATTCCTGACTACTATGAAGGGAGTACAATCTTTCTTGGGCAGCCTGAATTACTATCATAAATTCATTGAAGACTATTCCGTGATTGCGGCCTCCCTGTATGAACTCTAGGATGGCCAAGTACGTTCAGGGCGAGATCTATCCAGGGCAAAGCGGGCGTTTGAAATCCTGAAGCACAAGATCGTATCGACCCCAGTATTGAGGCACCCTGACAGGACCAAACGAGTCGTCATTACACCCCATGCAAATCAATGGGCCGTCTGTGCGGTCCTGGGTCAAGAACATGACGGTTTGACCCAGCCAGTGCGTTTTGCGTGGCGTGTCCTCCACGATGCGGAGTTGAGGTATCACATCGCAGAAAAGGAGGTCATCGCCGTGCTGAGGGTATTACAGGTGTTCAGAACACTCATTCAGGGCTGTCGTTTCATTGTGTATACCAGACACTTGGTTCTGAGGTGGATCATGAAATCCAAGACGGCTAATGGGCGGTGTGTACCCTGGGGCGTTTTACTTTCGCAGTGGAATCTGGATGTCAGGAAAATCCAGCGAGACGAAGATGAACTAGCTGCAATCCTGGGCGCCGGTATCACACCTCGAGAGCATTTAGACGAAGTCGCCGAGGAACTCATCCCTGCCAAGGGGCGTGCGAAACCGCCACCGATAAAAAGCGTGGAGATGCTGGAAGATACCTTCCAGGGTATCGTTCTAAGTTTCGATGGCGCCGCCAAGACGTCTACCTGGCAAGGTAGCGGTGGGTGTTTTGTGGGAACTCCCTGGATGGAAAATCCTGGATGCACAGGGTTTCATCCTCGAAGATGTCACTGTGAATGACGCCGAGTACTGTGGACTCCTGAATGGCCTAACCATGGCGCAGACCAGGGGCGTTAGAGACTTGATCGCTGTGGGTGACTCACGAATCGTCATCCAGCAAGTGCAGGGTCTGATCAATTGTATTCAGCCTAACTTGCAAAGGCGATAGTCCAGTTGTGAAGCACTGAAAGCAAAGTTCGATTCAGTAAGACTGGTACACGTCAAGCGGGACTTCAACCAGGCAGCGGATTACTTGACTTCCAAGACGCTGTTGCTTGGAAGACCCTGGAGCGTCCAGGAAGATGGGGAACGTCAGCACCTGGAGCGAGTATCCAAGATTCAAGAGAAGTCGATGAATTCAGCCGAGGGTCACCTGGCGACTGGTCATTCAGGATTCGTTGTCACCCAGGATGAAGAGGGTTGTCCGGACAATCCTGGATGCCCCTCTGCCCTGGATGTCATGGCAGCTCCACTGCCACGCGCAGCCAAAATCTTGGTTGCCGTGACACGGGCTACGGTCCGAGACCAACGAGCGTCATCAGAGCCTCTCGATCCTCTGGATTACCAACGAGAAAGGCGGTGACAAATTAAGGTGCACCAGGAACAAGATGAATACCTGTGCGTTTTGAGAGATTTCCTGAACGGAGAAGTCGACCGGTTCACTTTACAGCGGTTACGGAGGATCGCCAAGGTCGCAGACTTGTTCGCCTTGGATGCCCGTGGTGTGCTGTATCGGTTAGCCCAGTCCACCCGAGGCGGACCCCGAGATGCTCAGGATGAATTACGACTGGTAGTACCTGTCACCCTGAGGGAGGACATCTTACACTATGCCCATGAGGATTTTCAGGGTGGACACCAGGGCATCAAACGGACTCACGAGAAATTGCTCTCTGAGTTCTATTGACCCGGGATGTATGCAGACGTGGAACGACACGTAAAAGAGTGTGTGGATTGTGCAAGTAGCAAATGACATCCGTCTAATCCTGGGCCATCTCCTGGAAACATCGAACCAAGACGACCATTTGAAGTGGTCTCGATGGATTTCGTGACACCCATGCCGAAGTCAGAGCGGGGAAATACTTTCTTGCTCTTATTCCAAGATATGTTCTCAGGATTCGTGATGTGTAAACCAATCTCTTCCACGACAGCCCAGGATGTAGCCGAAGCATATGAGGAACGGGTGTTCAGGATGTTCGGTGCTTCAGAAATGATCCGCCACGATCAGGACCCAAGATTCATGAGTGAAGTTTTCACTCGATTCAGGGAACTCCTGGGCAGTCGTCAGAGATCCACCCTGAGTTACCGACCCCAAGCGAATGGACAACAAGAACGTTCTGTTCAGACTGTTATCTGGAGCGTGCGAGCATATGTTGCCGAGGCAGACCAGTCAGATTGGGATGATCATGCCGAGCGACTGATGTTCGCCCTGAACACCTCGTTTGACGCGACCCGCCTGGACACACCATTCTACCTAGTCCATGATTGGGATGCTCAAGGCACCGTATCTTCCATGCTGGGGTCTAAGCCGTCCAGCCTTCCAGAACGGACCGCGTATGAATGGAGGAGAAAGTTCCAACGTGACTATGGTTATGCACGAGCATGTGCCCAGGACTTACAGAAGAAAGCGAAACGCCTGAGATCAGAAGCTCAGACCCGGAAGTGGAGAGAACTTTCAGAACGTCTGAAGTCTGGATTCGAAAGGGGCGACGCAGTGTGGTTGTATATACCCAAAGTGCAATCAGGGCTGAGTCGCAAGTTGGCACACCTGTGGCATGGTCCTTTCAGAATTGACGAAGTACACGATGATTTCAGGGTGAAGTTGAAAATCGACGGAACTGGATATCGCGTGAATCCCTGGGTACACGTAAGTCGTCTGAAGCCACAATCGATGAAATCACCCTGTATGAAAATGATGACCTGGAAGCGGAATTGCTGCCTGAAGACAGTTGGGAAGCAAACAACCAGGATGGTGAGTACGAAGGGGAACAAATCCTGGATCTTCGATGGAATAAACGCACCCGCACATCCAGGAGGACGAGAGAGTATCTTGTCAAGTGGAAGGGGTACGTCGATCCCGAATGGATACTACTGTCGCAACTCAACTGTGGAGCCCTGTTGTATGAATTCAACCAAGGCGACAGAGCCAGAGCACGCTTCAGGGCGATGCAGGCTGGTGACGACCATCCCCGAATCTAGCTGGGTTTATCCATCAATCCTGGATGGCCCACTGATCCTGACTCAGACTGATGAATTTTGTGAACTGTTTTGACTTGTGGATATTTTTTCGACTATGGAGTGTTTTCGTGCATTTTCGTTCCTGGGTGGAGTTTGTGACTGAATCCTGGATGGCGAACGCCGTGTGCATGTTCCTGGGTAAATTCTGGATTAAAAGGTAAGCGAAGTGATCAAGATGAAGTGGAAATGCTATATATTAGAATGTATTGGTTAAACCTACGACAACTCAAGTGACTGTGACGAAATTCGACGGCAACGACTAGTATGCTGCATCCCAGAAAATCGTGGACGGCACGCCTTCGGTAACACACTCCCGTTGCTTGGTCTCCACAGTCTGAGCCAGAGCATCCCATTGTCGTTTACATTCGCGCTGCATATCTGCGCCGCCCTGGGTAGCCGTGTCGATAGCAAACTCGTGGGCACCATGCCAGAATCCTGACGCGTTCTCCTCCATGAATCGGATGTACTTATCCAAAGCCATCCTTGCGCGATGTGCCAGAGCGCTGTACGAGTGCAGGACCAAGCGTTTCACATGATTCTCGAACATGGTCGTCGAAGGTTCCGTAGCCAGCAGAGCTTGTACGTCCGCCAGGATGAACCGCTGCTTCAGAGGCTGGATGCCACCTGCCTTGTTAGGCGCGTAATCTAGGAAACACGCCGGCTGATGAACCGCGTGGGCTGATGACGGAGTAAAGTCATCAAAATTCCGTAGTGACGCCAAGATGAGATTCCTGGACCGGGGACCTCAACTATCTCGGTGTCCGCCACAGTGAGACTTCCTGGGTCAACTTGTGCCAGGGGCGACTGACGAAGCAGACTACCAGGACGTGCACGTTTGGACGGTGTGCTTGATGTAGCTGTGGACTGGGTCGCCGGTGCATCAGAATGCGACGAAATAGAAGTGCGACGGCGTTTCGGGGCTGAAGGGACACTGTCTCCACCCTGGACATCATCGTCATCCTGGTTGTCGACACCGTCATCAGGGTTGTAATTGGCGCCGTGCTGTGTATCGTCGTGTTCACTGCTGGCATCGTCCATAACCTCTTGGCCACACGCACGTCGGCATCCACCAGATCAGGCCAGTATCCAGGGCGAACCCCCTCGGAGTGCAAAAGATCCAAGCGTAATTCTGCGGGGAGATAGTATTTTTCTGGAACATACTTGGCCTAGAACGATTCATCCAGCCGGTTCCAGAGCATCACGCTTGCCAGCATGTCAGCAAGTGCCGACGGCGGAAACAAATTATGGGTCATGACGTCTCCACTCAGCATGGCGATAGATCCCTGGTAACCAATACCTGCACTCATCAGTAGGATCACGTCAGGACGAAGAGTATCCCATACCACAGGCTCATTCTTCATGATCTCCCTAACGTCGGATTCTTGGAACATTAATTGGTTCGACGGAGAGCGAGCCTGGTCTGCTGAAAGAGCCCATCCAGAAGGGGCGCAGCTGTGGTTGGTCGGGAACTTTGCGTGAAGAACCGCGAGACCCCTTTTTCTTGGTGGGCTTGGTCTTCCGTTACGAGGTCTCACTGGCGCCGGAATCCTGGTGGGTCAGGTCGACCTCGTTGTTCTTGCCGCTCTGAGCAGCCTTGCCCTGGGAGCCGTCGCCCTGGACGCCACTTTGGTCCTTTTCCTCTTCGTCTGCGTCATCCTCACCAAGCGTGGCGAATGGCGAGACCTGGGCAAACGGGTCGCCCACAGCGGTAACCGCGATCAACGTGCTCCAGGATTTCTCAGGGGCGACACCATCACGAAAACGTTCCAAGATTCTGGAGCCGCTTCCAGTTGTCATTGACTCGGGTCTGGTCGCGGTTCAGGAAGTACATCAACTGGGGGGCGTTGAGACAACGTGAACCAGAGCGAGTGCGACCCTGGAGCCCCAAGTGCTCTACTTGGGAGCGCAGCTCACCAACCTCTTAGCGAAGGGCGCGTATTTCCAACTCGTGCTCAGCTAGGACCCCGCGCATCTCACTCTGACGACGATGATGGGCTGCGTCCAACTGTTCCTGTAGACGACGAGCTTCGGCCCAGTAGAACTCATGCAAGGTGGCGTAATCAGCCCTCACCCTGGCTGTCTCGCCTTGGGCGTCCAACATGTTCTGGACGTGCTCGGGTCCACTTGGGTGCGTAGTTGACGAAACTTGGCCAATAGACGTTTCAGGAAGGTCGCCGACTCAAACACCTCTGTGCAAGGGCTGTAGTGCGACAGGATCGACGCGAACTCACGACTTATCAATGTTGAATGGAGCATACACTCCAGCTCGGCTAAGTCGAGAGGGCGATCTGAGTGAGGACGCAATGTGAGTGCATCGACATCGCCGCCCTGGTCGACGAGTGCTGCCAGGTCTTGGAGGTCTACCGCCGTGAGGCCATCAACACACTGAATGACTTCCAAGCTGCCGTATCCATCCAGTGTGAACTTGTTGTCAGCCAGGTGCTGTGACCACGCAGGAATACCCACAAAGAACGTGTGATCAGACGGCTGGTGAACCGCCGACTGTGGGAAGCTGGCTGGCACCACCTCGGGAACCATCGTGGTGCGCCGCTGTGGAGGAAGTGACAAGGGATGACGATGTGTAGCCGCCCGGAAGCGACTCACGATCCGCACAGTAATGTCCAGACTCGTGCCTGTACCCACGATGTCCTTTGTTTCTTCTTCCTGCATGGGTTCGTCCGCGTCAGAGTCCACTGGGTTGCGGTGCGGCGGACTGCGAGAGCGCGGAATGGGCTCAGCCGAAGGAACCGAGTCACTGCCACCGTGGTTGTCAGGCATACCCGCTTCAGGATTGCTCTCACCCGAGCCACCGGCCCCCGCCAAGTTGGCAATCCCACTGGGAGCCGACGGTAGTTGCGCCGTGCTATGAAGCGAAGTCGCTGAAGGAGGATCCATTGCAGTGTCGGAGAGATTAACCAGTTGCTGGGCTGAAGCGATTTCCAGTTGTGAGGAGTAGTCTCTGAGGCGGCCACGCCATGACAGAACTTGACTTGGGTGCCAAGCGAAAGGGCAAAGAAAAGATGCGAGGTGCGGTAGTGCAACGGGCGGGTCATCCACAATGAAGGGCCGCCCTGGATTGGGCGGATTTGGATGCAGTCTGGTCGTGATCGTTCACCTCGGTGCGATTTCCTCTGCGAAAGATCCTGATCAAAGGGGCGGTTGTGACGATGTGGATTACAATTTTGAAAGGTGGAGAGGCAAGGAAGGGGAATAATGTGCTGATTGGTTAAGATGAATGAGTCCAGAGCTGACATCTGCGTGAGACATGTAGAGAGGCAGTTCCAGATTGAGAAAAAGCTGGCAGTCGTGTGCTCAAGGAAGGGACCATAGGCTCGGAAGTGATCATCCCGGATAAACGTACATCCAGGATAGATGGCCACCCAGGATAAATATCCATCCAAGGTGAATGGCCATCCAGGATCGAGAACCATCCAGGATGAAGTGAACCACTCGGTCCGAGCCGCCGATACCCTGATGATAGGTACCCCAGGAAGGGAGAAGAGCGCCCTGAAGAATGTATCTAGGGCAGCCACCTGTCCTGACTTGCGCCGCCCTGATGTTACAGTGACCAACCTCGACTACGAATGCGTCAACAAGTGCCTCAGAAGTGTCGCTAAGTGATATGTGATGAATGATCACCAGGATCACCCATGATGATGAAGGCCATCCAGGATCGACGAGTGACCGCCCTGGACGACCAAGTGCAGATGTGATTGAGTGACAAGTGTGAAGTGTTTTACAAGGATCCGGGAGCTGGCCATCCAGGATGAAGCTACACTGGATGAAAGCACCCAGGATCAAGACTCACACAGGTCAGCTCGCAACGGCGTACAGACATCGACCGACACGCAAGGTCTGCAGGAATCGTCAACACGTGATGTGTCCACCTCCTCCCATACTGAAGTCA